GGAAATCTCTGCTATCATCCCTTCACTAGCAATACCAATCAGACGAACTAGACAAGCCCAGTCAGCACATCCTTTCGTTGTCAACCTCGAAAGATGTCGAACAGCACTTTATCAAGACTCCTTCATCCATAGAACGGCTAGGCTCTGGAATTCATTGCCTGTGGAAGTATTCCCAACAACATATAATCTCCAAAAGTTCAAAAAAATTCCAATACCTACCTCCTGTCCCTATCCTCCCTAGGAACGCACGATGTTCTTTGAACATTATAGGGATTCCCTTTCGTGCGCTCCAAACGATAAAAAAAAATAATTCCCTAGATCATGAACTGAAGCCGTAATTTTAAACATTTTGATAAAATAAAACTTATGGAGATATCGAATTTTTCATTCATATCTGAGTGTTTGTCAGTTTGATCTGAGATGTTTTTGAATCTAGCTAGAATATTTTCAAGTTGTGACCATCTATATTATAACTTGAGAAACGATTTGTAAAGTATTTAAATCATTGGGATAAAAAACATTTGCTTGCACATCTAATTCATAAAAATACAATTTATCATCAGTCTTATGGATTTTCCAAGTATCAATTTTAACAACTTTCTCAACATATTCCCTAACTAACTGTTCATAGTTGTGGAAGAGGTCTTAGTTTTTAAACTGTTCTATTATATCACTTTGAAATATCTAATAATATCTAAATATTTCTGACGTCTTTCATTTGGATCAGTTCTTTATTATTTGGCTGGTTTTGAAAAATATTTTGGTAAATTTGGAAAAATTGAAGGAACTGCTGTTTTGACTAACTTTGGTGCTCGTAACAAATTTTTTCCAATTGATCCATCTGGCAGAGAGGAAATGTATCATACCTGATGATATCTTTTTCAATAAAATGAATTGCACATACTGCAGAACGTTGAGATGGTGTCCAGTTTTTTCGAGGTATTGCTGTTATCCACTCACTTCGCAATTCTTCCCCTTTTGGGAATAAAAAAACAGAGACATGATCCTTTCCCAGCTTTTTTTCAGATCTGTAATTTGACTTACATCCTGGCACACAACAATGAGAAGGTATATTTTATAAGGAATAATGAATTACTCACTTATTTCCAGGAGTAAATTGAAAAAAAGAAACAAATTCCCTTGCCAATAAACCAGCACTAGTTAGGTTAGGTTAGGTTAGGTTGAACGTGAGTGGGCCTATTGTCAGGCCCTCCACTGCGGCCATTGGCCTATTGTGGCTCACCCTAGGGTTATATTTCTCCCTGTATATCCAATTTCTTAACGAAATCGAGGATTGCGTTGGGAGAACAATTTACCAGGTTTTCTGGCCTTACTATTGTATTGCCGAATATTGAAAATCTGGTTCTGGCCGCTGCGGGGCATGTACACAGGATGTGTTTCGCCGTTTCATCCTCCTCCATACATAGGCGGCACTCTGCATCTTGTGCAAGTCCGATTTTGTGCATGTGGTATTTGAGTTTGCAGTGGCCAGTGAGCAACCCTACTATAACTCTGAGATCTGCTCTGCTGAGTTCTAGTAGTTTGTCAGTGTCCTGTTTGTTCCTTGTACCAGCAATAAATGCTTTGGAATGGGCTAGGCCCGGTAGACTGCGCCAATACTCGAGTCTTTTCTTATCTGCCCAGGATGTTATAGCATTCTTGGCAGTGCTATATGCTATACCGATGATCGGTTCTGGCCCAGTGAACGGTGTTTCGGCCCCCCCTTTTGCTAGGGCGTCCGCTATTTCGTTTCCTACTAGGCCCGTGTGACCTGGTATCCAAACTAGGTTCACGTTGTTACGTTCTGCTAGTTGGTTCAAGGTTTCTCTGCAGTTCCATACTGCTCTAGATTTAAAGCAGTTGGATTCAAGCGCTTTCAGTGCTGCTTGACTATCTGAAAATATTTTTATTGTTTTCCGTGTGTGGTGTCGATTTTCCAACTCCCTTGCACACATTTCAATGGCATGTACCTCTGCCTGGAATATCGTAGCTAATTTGCCCATGCTGAATGAGCGTTTCACTACTGGGTTCATCCCGTATATTCCGGCTCCGACGCCTTCCAAAGTTTTAGAACCATCGGTGAACCAACATTCATTAGCCCTACATAGGTCAGTTTCGTTCCGAGCCCAGTCTTCTCTTTCAGGGAAGACCACCGTGTAGGATTTGTGAAGGTTGATAGTTTTAGGCATGATGTCTGAGGGCATTCCCAGAATGTTGTGAGCTATTATGCCCTCCAGCATGCTGCTGCCTCTCATGACTATTGCCTGCGGTTGACTAGTGGCCGCTTGGTGAAGTCTGTATGTTGCCCATCTTGCTTCTCTCTCCAGAACTATGTGAAGAGGAAGTAGTCCAAGAAGGGCTTCCATTGCTGCTGTTGGCGTGGAGCAAATGGCCCCCGTAATCGCCAGGCACGCTTGTCTCTGTAGTCCATTGAGTTTGGCCTGGGCCATTTTCTGTTGGCCTTTGCCCCACCAGACTACAGAGCCGTACGTGATCATAGGTCGTATGACGGTCACGTACAGCCAGTATACTTGTTTTGGTGACATGCCCCATGTTTTGCCACATATTCTGCGGCATGTCCATAGTGATAGGCTAGCCTTTCGGATAGTCTTTTCCAGGTGCGAGTTCCAATTTAGCTTTTTATCAAGGGTTAGTCCAAGATATTTTGCTTCACTCGCAAAAGGAATTGTTACACCATTAATGGAAGGAGGTCTTAGATGTTCCAGCTTCCTTTTTCTGGTGAACGGTACTATGACCATTTTGTGGGGGTTAATGGACATTTCCTCCCTCTCACACCATTTATATATGGTACCAGCACTAGTACACTCCAATATAACCTCCAATTTAACACAATTTTGAATGCACTTGCCACACACTTTCAGTCTCGAGTCGATTCCTAGATTGTTGCTAATACTATTAAAATTATTTGATCTCAATATTACACCAATTAATAATTGAAAACTTCAACAAAACCTTCCATAAACTCCTTGTTTACTTCCTACACAATACACTTTGAATGGCCGACAGGTGCACGTTCGGTCGTTCGGACAATGTTGCCAAGTTTATTCTTCATGGCTTGATATTGAAGACGGCTGTGATCAGAATCGTTAGTCGTCCACGGATACCTGATATGCAATACCTGATATGCAAGGACATTAGCCCGCAGCAGCTCGTGAACCCTTCTTACAGGGTGATAATTTTTTTTCGAAAAAGTGAAGTGGTTGAAAGTTCTTCTAGAAATTTCATGGAAATATTAGTTTATATTCCCCCCAAGTATAAAATTTGTTGAGGAACTACAGGAAGTTGAACTGCATCAGGGCGTGTTTTAACGATAAATTGGTAATGTATCGGAAATTCTTCCAATTTGGATAAAATTTTGTATTTTGAAACTATCGCACTATTCACTATAGTGGCAAAGATTGGATTCATACAGTTATATCGGTGATAGATTGTATTGCGTATACAGTATGTCCAAGATGAGGATGTCTTCGTATCCTTATCTTGGACACGGTATATATGTATTTAGCTAGCCAACAATTCATCAGAAGAAATACCTAACAGTTATTCGTTTTCGTTTCGTGATTCGTGAACCCTTATTTACTGACGCCATTTTTGGCAACTATGTTAAAAAATAATCCAAGGTAGTGACTTCAAATTAGAAGCATTTTTCTCGTAGGTAAATTGAGATATTGTGTACTGAGTATCTCGTCCTTGTTATGCACTTCAATGCTCTGTAGTTTCAATAAAAAACTCTACTTGGGGATAAGTATTTAGACTGAGTAGATATGTTTTCAATATTTCAATACTGAAATGCCAATCATTTGACTATCAAATTAAAAGCAAATTATATTGATGTGGGTATTATCTCATTTTCATAATATCACTATTTAATATTGAATTGCTGATCATTTGACCTCTATAAGAGTGTCATTTCATTCTCATATAAGTGCTGTTTCACAGTTATATGTTTTTTTTTTAAGATTGACTTGATTACAGCGATAACTCTCGGTGCAGATAAGTTCTTATCAGTACCTACCCACTTCACAATTTGAAAATATTTCAAGTCCAACAGAATTGATGAAAAATAACTCAAATTGAAGATCTTGAAGTGAACAATAATTCATATTGGCATAGTCATCAGTGTCAACACAGTGTTGCTATATGAATGACAATGGTGAAATTCGTTGATGAAAAAATATACATACATCTTTATTGAAGTAGGAAACCTAATATACATATCTGTTATGTGATAAAATGATAACAACATGAATTGAAATTTGATATCAATTTTTAAATTAACTCAAGCGCCATGGATTGAATGAAATCAACACAAGAGCTATTCAAAATTAAAAATTTTCGTTTGGAGCAGTAATTCATTCAAAATTCACGGAATAACTTGTAGATAGATACATTATATAATTAAATATAACAGTACAAATATTTGATTGTTATTGTTACAGATAGTTCAGTGATATCTATCGATAAAAAATAGTGGAATCATATGATTGAAAATGATATACTAACTTATACAATTGAAGTTTCTAACACTATCACAATACCTAATAATTCTTACTTCTAATATTTTACAAATTCTTTTAGTGACGTTTTAAAATTTTCCAGATTGGATAGTTTTTTTTATTCTTCCAGTGATTCATTGAATTTCTGGAAACCTTTAAAAAATAATGAGTTTATGGTACTTCTGAAAGCCGTTCTGTTTATATGTATGTTGTTTGAATTTCTAGTGTTGTACGTATGAATGTCTTTATTCAGGTTAATGTACTATTTGAAATATTCAGGTGCCATATCATTCACAATCTTGAATACAAGAATCATTGTGAAATAGTATAGCCTACTTTCAACCGTTATCCAATTCAAACAATCCATCATATATTATCCTCATCCCTCGATTTCGTAGATTTTGTAGTATATTCAATTTATTGAGGTTGAATAAATATAATATAAATGAACAAAAATATGATGAGATCATTAAAATTCTTCAGCATCCTGGAGGTGAGGAAGTGCTGCTAAACAATGCTGGCAAGGAAGCCAGTGAAAACTTCGAACTCATAGGCCACTCTAGCGATGCAAGGGAATTGATGGTAAAATACAAAATTGGAGAATTAGTGGAGTCTGATCGCAAACCAGTCGAAACAAAGATCATTGACTGGGAAATGTACAAATCTACCAACAAAACAGCTTCATCCTCATCACCGAGGTGAGAATGAATACGATCATTCATATCAGATACTCATGAAATAATACTTCTAATCAATTGTATCCTATTTTATCCATGGTCTCAACCTTCCAGTAGTCGCACGCGGAGTATCACTTCGCACAAATACAAAACGTGAGTTTTACCGAATATACTTCATTCCCTTATTCCGCCGCACTCAGTACCTTCCTAAAATGACGACTTCAGTACGAATCGAGTATTACCAATGTGCAAAATTGCTTCGTTTTTGAATTTAATAGGGTACTACGAAGCCGTGCTCCGCAGTGACCTCAGACGTATTGATTATATTGCATATTTCAGTTACACTTTGGGCGTTTAAGGCAAAAATTTTGTCTCATTCGATGAATGATATTTCATAAAACACCGTTTTGTAAACACACACTGTGATAAAAAATAACACACCCAATTTCATTGTAGTACCGGGTGACACGTTATAAAGTACCACCCCCTATAACTCTTTTATTTTTGACAGTAGAAAAAAAAATAAAGAAACAGTCTTACAGGGGATTTTTTTTCCTCCTCGAATCAACTGATATATTTTTAGTATATCAAATGATATACAGGGAGCAGGAAAAAGTGCAAAAATTTTAAATGGAACGCCCTATATATTTTCGCCCCATTAGATAGACCTTTCGAAGCGCTTTCCGAAAATACCCCACTCAATACATTTATCTTCAGTATTTCTCATAATATAGACGTTTGAACCTAAAAAAAGTGTTTATCGATTTTCAAATGATTTTTGAGAGTATGGTATGACAGTGAATCTAGGTAATTAATAAATCGTTATGACATTCAATTCTCATTGACAGTAGGTAATCGCTGAAACTCAGAATTGTAATATTAATTTAATTTCCGAAAATTAACAAAAACAAAATAACAAATTTATTGATCACAACTAATATTTCCACCCTCGTTCTGAACACATTCTTCGTAGCAAGTCTGTAAATGGTTTATAGCATTTTCTATAAAATGGGCATGTCTTTCATTCAGCATATTCACTTCATGTCTAATGAAATATTTGATATCATCAGCATTGTTCAGATCCCGTTGATAAATTTTATTCTTGATACATCCCCAAAGAAAATTATCCATGGGTGTAAGATCTGGGCTGTTTGAAGGCCATGCGATAGTTTCATTCCGACCAGCCGGGATTGGCGCAGTGGAAGAGCGTCCGTCTCACGACCGCAAGGTCGTGGGTTCGATTTCCAGCACGGGCAAGGAACTTTTTTCAATATTTTATTTACGAATTAAATATTGTAAAGTTTCGGAGCATCGGCTGGGGATAGTCCTGCACGATTCGCTGTTGCGTTCCAATTAACAGTGCTGCTCCTAAAGTGGCGCATGGAGTTAGTAACAAAGCCTACACAGAACACGCAGAAAGATATGATGATGTGGTTGTGAGCGTCAGAGAAGAAGTAGGACGGTGTATGTAGGTGTGTGTGGAAAAACTACCAGCTGAGCGTGAGAGCGGGCCAGCTGCTTAAGTAGACCTCGGTCTCGGGGGTTAACGATGATAGTTAGCAGGCCTGCCACTGCGCATATGGTAGTGAGTACATTACTAGCCTACAAAACACAGCTGAAAAAACTCTGAAAAGAGAGCTGATGGGCGGTGCCTGAAAAGGATGTTAGCCAGCTCTCTTGAGCGAACCACATCAGTCATTGAAAACACTTGGGGTTGGCAAAAAGGTCCCATTGGGGACTAGTTGCTGACGTGGAAACGTCCCCCACCAGTACCAGTACCAGTACCAGTTCATTCCGACCAATCCACTCTTCATGATTTGTATCTAGAAAATGTTTCACTCGTTGTATAACGTGAGGTGGAGCCCCGTCATGCTGATACACTATTCTTTGATATCGTCTCAAAGGTAAATTTTCCAATATTTCAGTTACTCTGTCTTCCAAAAATTCATAATATGATTGACCAGTCAACGTAGTTTCAAAAAAGAATGGGCCTAATATTTTATGGTCAAGTATTCCACACCAAACATTAACAGTTTGTCGACCTTGCCAACGCACTTCTCTTGCGAAATGTGGGTTTTCGGATGCCCAGTATCTGAAATTCTGTCTATTAGGCAGCCCGCTTGTAGAAAAACTTGATTCATCCGTCCATAATATATGATTGAAGAAGTTTCTATCATCATTCAATCTATTCAACATCAAGTTGCAAAAATTCAGTCTTTGATTTCTATGAATTTCTGTAAATTTTTGTACCGTATGGAATTTATGAGGTCTGAATTTATATTTTTTCAAAACTCTACGGATACTCTCCCTTGAATTCTTATGTGGTCCGAAACGTGCGCTTAATTCTTTTGCCGAAATCCTCAATGACTTTTTCGAATTTTCTATATGATTCAGTAAGGTATTTAATTCATGATTTTCGTCATTTCCACATGTCCTTTTTTTTCGTTGTGAATTGCAAGTCCTTCTAAACTTCAGGTAAATGTTCTTGATGGTTCGCCTTGATGGAATATTACCATTCGGAAAACGCAATTCATAGTCACGTCTTGCAGTGGATGCGTTTTGATTATTTTCTATGAATTAAGTTACTATTTCTTGCTTTTCTTCATTTGAATACACCATGATTCAAGAAAAACTTACTTATAGAGGAAATTAAGAAGAAGTGATGAAGGGATTAATCTTCACTAGAAATGACAATGAAATGTCATAACAAACCTTCATTATTGTTGCAGTTACTCATGGTTACCTCATGGCATACTATCTACAATCATAGAACAGTTATTCAATCATAAATCAATCAAAACGACTTTCAGGTTCAAACGTCTATATTATGAGAAATACTGAAGATAAATGTATTGAGTGGGGTATTTTCGGAAAGCGCTTCGAAAGGTCTATCTAATGGAGCGAAAATATATAGGGCGTTCCATTTAAAATTTTTGCACTTTTTCCTGCTCCCTGTATATCATTTGATATACTAAAAATATATCAGTTGATTCGAGGAGGAAGAAAAATCCCCTGTAAGGGTGTTTTTTTATTTTTTTTCTACTGTCAAAAATAAAAGAGTTATAGGGGGTGGTACTTTATAACGTGTCACCCGGTACATGTGAAAAAATCATGTTCTTATTAGAATCCGCTTCATTGGTGGTTTGAGATTGAAACATTTTCAGTTTGTCCTCAATTGTTCGAATTAGTTATCAAATCTTCGATAGTTGTCTTATGGTAATTTTGGGTTTAGTTATTGAATAAATATATTTTTATTGCAATTTTGACATTTTACTCCATAGAAATATTCATGTCCAAAGGCATACTGATGAAATATTCGGAAAAATTCAAGGCATCATGTTCAAACCACCCAAATTCTCCTTTGCGGAGTCAGATGCTGTCCTTTTCAAGGAGCGACTACTGGAAGGTTAAAGACACACAAATTCACATTTTAATAAACTCAAAAGTGTGCACAGGGAGAAAAGGCGATTGCATATCTATGCACAACATTGTGTAAAAGATGTTTGTGAAGTATTATTTAACATTTGTTCAAATAATCACTACAGTCATTTCGTGAAATGAAACAAATGTTTGTGTATATTAATTTGTGAAATATTTGTACATATCCATGTATAGCAGAAATCTACACAAAAATATGCACATCATCCAATGTACAAAATTGTGTTGACTAACTACACCTCCTTTGAAATAATGTTACTATTTGTGTAATATTTTGCCATAGGTGTGCAATTTTCTTCCACTTGGTAACGGCGTCCTATCCCCTTCTCCTTCTACCTACTTATATCTCAATCTCAATATTCTGAATTCGCACTTGACCTGTAGATGTGTTACAAGAAGGTGACTTACAAGTGTGTATGGTGCAGAATGTAGAATCTTCTCATTTATTATTGTCTGGCAAGTTGGTGAATGATTGATGATTGTACTTTAAGACCATAGGTATAGTCCTTCCGCAAAATTATTCCATGTTTACTAGTGCCACAAAGTGAAAGATGTAATGAGTTGTATGTATGTCGAAGACATTCTTCTTTTGTTGGGAACTGGTATCTACATTCGCCGGTAAGTTATTATTTCAATAATACCTAATAATAATTAGCTTCGAGTTGCTTTCAATTTCAACACACATTTCAAGCAAGTCGAGGCGAATAGCTAATCATTAGGTTCAATTGGAATAACTTACCAGCGAATGTTGATACTAGTTCAGGTAGTTCCCAACAAATAATCGACACTTTGATGATACATCTTGATACATCTTTCAGTTTTTGCCACTAGTAAACATGAAATAATTTCTCGGAAGGACTATACCTATGATCATTGAGTACAATCATCAATCATTCACCAACTCGCCAGACATTAATAAATGAGAAGATTCTACAGTCTACGGAAGTACACATACTTTTGTATCGTTACGGAATTTGTGTACAAGAAATACACAAATTTGTGTTATTTTCAGTACATTGAATTGTGAACATTTCCACAATTTTGTAATGCTGAGTTCACCCACTTACACAGTTTGTGCACACATATCACACAAATTGGTGATATTTGTCGAACAATATATTGGATGATTTTATATATTTGGTATCACGAAAGTACACAAATTTTGTTTGGTTTTTGAACAAAATTGTTCTGAAACTAAATTGTTTGGTTATACAAAAAATCTCTCACACAAAATATTGCGCGAAATATACACAAATTGGTGCTGTCGCCATTTTAGAAACAAACTGTGTAAAAAATCTACACAAATGTATAAATAGCTTACACTAATTTCTCTCTGTGTGCTGTGCATTATACCAAAGGAATGAAAGAAAATTTTTAGCATTTTATGTAATGATTTCATATTGCGTTTGTTTTTTTTTTCAGCTCTCTCAATTCATGGTTAATCACATTATCGCTGGGACTCGTGGCCACTATTGTGTACCGTATCTTTCTCCAAGCTTAGGTGAAGTGATCGAAGTTTCTGAGGACAATTATTATTACAGAAATTCATTTGATAGATAGAGTTCATCTATGAATTTTATAATATGCCGCTTGAAATTTATTAAAATGTTTCTATTGAAATCAAGCTGTTCAAACTGGGTCGAAATAAATTAAATTTTAGAATACATAATTCTTATTATGGAATATATCCAGTATCCTGTTAGAACCATGAAAACAACAATTTCCCTTTCCGTAGCATTCCATCACTAGCAATAAGTATATTGCTTTGCTGATGATACTGTCATAATAGTAGTTGGCGATACCTGGGAATCTACCGTTCAAAAGGCCGAAGTGGCAATCACTAAAATAAAAAGGTGGCTAGATTATAGCTCATTAACATTGAATGTTGATAAGACCAAATTCATAGCTTTTGGCCTAACCCAGAAAACTTTGCCAGGACTCCGCTCCTCAAAAATCCATGATCATGAATGTAAAATCGACACTACTTGTTGTAAATGTGGAAATATAATAGAGAGAAAGGAATACATAAAATATCTAGGCATATTACTTTATGAAAACTTGACATGGAAATTCCATGTAAACTATGTAACCAGTAAAATAAGAAAATTGATTTTCAAGTTATATGAGCTAAGACATATTTTGAATTCAAAAATCTTGAAAACAGTATATTTTGAATTAGTTGAATCTGTAATTAGTTATGGACTGGTAGTATGGGGCAATGCTCGAATGAATACATAATGACACCTCTATATGTGGCACAAAAGTATATAATAAAAATAATGTTGTATAAAAACAAAACTCTTCCCACAATCTTATTATTCAAAGATAGCAAATTATTAAATATTGAACAACTTTACATAAAATCAACTATAAGATTTATGATTATGAAAAAATATTATAGAAATGCTTTAAATCACCAACTAAATACCAGAGCTGCGGCTAGACAGAATGTTCTACTCCCTAGTGTTTCGTTCTCAGCAACACAAGCGCACATATGTTGTATTGAGCCAAAAATGTATAATGTTTTACCACTGCACATCAGAAATAAGCCTTACAAACTAGTGAAATCACAAATAAATAAATGGATAATCGAAAGTGAACTGACATTAGATGATTTATGAAGCTGAAATGTAGGTATTCATAGTTTTTCTCTGTTAACCTCTTTAAAAAATTAGTATGTATATGTTGAATAAATAGGTATATATAAAGTAGTAGGATGCACACACAGATCCTCAAATCCATTGTGCATCCAATGATATGTATATTTTGTAACTCATTATAATTGATTTACCAATAAATAAATAGATAAATAAATAAATGAATAAATATAAATACATCCACGCAAGACTACTCTCAGACCTTCCACTCTTCTGTAGATACTGTAGAGAAATGTTATTCAGAAATATCTGCTCTTATTCCATCATCAGCCAGACGAACTAGACATGCCCACTCCAATCGTTGTCGACCTCAAAGTATGTCCAACAACACCTTATTGAAAGTCGTTTGTCTATAGAACGTCAAAACTTAGGAATTCTCTGCCAAAGGAAGTATTCTCAAGAGATTATAATCTCCAGAAATTCAAATAAAATTCAATATCTACCTCTTCTCTACATTCTCCCTAGGTACAAATATGATGTTCTTCGAACATTTCCTGAGCTCCAAGAGATAAAAACAATGGAACTAGGTACATCTTCCTGGAATTAGACCTCTCTCCATTTTATTAATAATGTTCTCTAGAGGAATGTTTATTTCTGATTTCCGTCAGGAATCAGGAATCCTTCGGGTCAACCCAGTTTATTGACTGTCAACTCAACACACCACTCAGCAACGACCCAACTCATCAACATCCCAAAAGTCATCAACCTATCCATTACATCGATACCGAACTTATCAACGACCTAACTTTTCAACCACCCAACACATCAACGTAGTCATTACAGCAATACCCAACTCATCTACGACCCAATTCATCTACGACCCAACTCATCAACGATCAAACTCATCAACGACCAAACTCCATCAACGATCCAGCTCATCATCGACCCATTAATGTGGCCGAATTGATATCGAATTAACTCAAATCAACCAAAAAAATTACATTAAACAACCCTAAACGCACAACCATGTCCTCCGGACGTCCAAGTGACATCCTTGAGGATATAAACAGGGTAGTTTCTAGTGGGATCACAAGTTTTTTTTTTCAATTCAAATGATGGCCCATGATCAATACGAGTAAGTACACAATAATTACAAGATGAATAAATACGCGTAGCTCAAAGTCATTTCCACAAATGTTCATAAATGAACGAAGTTGATAGATAACGAGAGGAAAACAACTACTTTCCTGGCTATATGCCACGCAGTACATTGAATTTTATCTTTCCGAAATCCATGCAATAATTCGTATAGAGGGATAAAATTGCAAGTGTTTCCTTCCTAAACGCCGAGCTGCGCGCCTAAGTGGTTCAGGAACGCGTGAGTACCTGCAGACCGGTTTCGAGGTTTTTGCTCTCATCAGTACAGGGCTGTCCCAGAAAGCATTCATGACCGCTATCTGGTACGAACCTGACCCAACATAAACGCATTTATCACCCAAGAGGCGTACAGTATCCGCGAGACGGACACGAACACCGCGCCAATTTGGTTCATTTATGAACATTTCATTCCACTTTGAGCATTTTGGCTTCTTCTCAGATGAATAACAAGGTGTTTCACTAGATTACAAGGAAAGTCATTTCGCGGTATTCACGTTATGCCCATGGACCACTGGCGCCGAGTGGGAAGTAGATTATCATATCAGTAGTGATATGAGGTCTATAGTTGGAGAAATGGGTCGTTAATGAGTTAATTAGGAAGTAGATGAGTTGGGTCGCTGATGAGTTGGGTCGTTGATGATTTGGATCATCACTTACTTGGAAGTTGATGATTTGTGTCGTTGATGAGTTGAAATGAGTTGGGCCGATGAAGATTTGAGTCATTGATGATTCAAATTGTTGATGAGTTGGGACGTTATTGATGAATTGGAACGTTGATGAGTTGGGTCGTTGATGATTTGGATCATTGATGAGTTGAATCGTTGAAGACTTGGGTCATTGATGAGTCGAATTGTTGATGAGTTGGGACGTTATTGATGAATTGAAACGTTGATCAGTTGGGTCGTCGATGAATTGAGTGTTGATCTATTGACTATACGATGATGTGTCGGGTGGTTGATGAGTTGTGTCGTTCACGAGTCCGGTGTTGATGAAATAGATATGTTGATGAATTTGGTCAATGATGAGTTGAGTTTTGATGATGGGCTGGGTTGACTTGTTGAGTCGTTGATGACTAGAGTCGTTGATGAGTGGAGTGTTGATGATATGAGTTCGTTGATGAGTTTGGTATTGTTGAGAATTGGTGACATGTCTGTTGATGAGTTGTGGTTAACCTGCCTCATATAAACGGGCACAGTACGGAGAAAATAAAATATGAGGTCGATAGTTGAAATAATGGATCGTTGATGGGTGAATTGGGAAGTGGATGAGTTTGGTCACTGATGAGTAAGTCGTTGGATTGTTGATGAATTGGATTGTTGATGAAGAGGATCGTTGATGAGTTGATTTAGATCATTGATGACTTGGGTCATTGATGACTCGGGTCGTTGATGATTTGGGTTTTTGATTGGAATGTTGATGAGTTGGGCCGATGAAGAAGTAGGTAATTGATCATTTGGGTTGTTGATTAGTAGGCACTTTGATGAATTAATACGTTAATGAATAGGGTCATCGATGAATAGCTGTGGTCAACCCTCCTCACATAGACGGGCACAGTACATCAAAAAATAGAAGAAAAAATAGATACAGAACCTAAATATTACATTATTCAATGAGCGCATCATGATGGCTAATACTCACGGAGTTGAATATTGCAGTAGGAGCCGAAGACATGTCTGTGAACAGATGAGTGAGTAATAACCATTATGCTAGAAAAGAATACCATACTTCATCTACGACTTTTCAAATATTGAAGCATCACCATCAAAATTTCAGAAATGAATCTGCGAAATTAAGATGGTTAATATTGCAAAATCAATTATAGAGTAATTTGAGATGATAATGTCATGAAAAACTCATTGAAAAAAATGTCCGATATTGACTGATGAACAACTCAATTGAATACTTTTCATTGTAAAATTGCTCAACAATGCTGAATCCATCAATTTAGATAAATAGCGTATCATCAGTCAACCGTATTACGAATTATTCCATTTTAGTTCAGCCCTCTGAAAACCAGTTGTCTTTCTTCTGAAATTTTGTATCCATATCGAATCTAAGGAAACAGACTCACGAGTCCCGAAAGACGGATCCTTATGATTCAAATCCGAAATTTCGACGTTGGTACAGGGTTTCATGTCTAATTGGATTGGATATTTGTGTCCTCTAGAGTTGAAATCATGATAAAATTGGCTACCTGAAATCGACAGTGAGTGCTACTACTGGATCTGTAAGTATTATACAGGGTAACTCACGTCGATGGTACGTTAGACGATTATGGAGAACGCAACGCAGGATTTTTCTGAAAATTTCGCATCTTACATTTTATCACCTGCTATCAATCTAAAATATTTTCGAAACTGCGACGTTGCCGTTTCTATCAAGAAGTCCTAGCAACTTATTTTTTTTAATGGAACAAATTTTCAGAACTGCATTTTTATTATAATACTCTTCTGCTAATAAATCTCTATACCTATCTCTATCGGTTTTCGAGATGAAAAATAATTTGTGTTAAATATGATCCAAAACATATCCCTAATTAAACTTATGTACCTAAATCAGGGCTCTCGAATCATAAACAGTTGATGTTTTAGTGGTGGTTTGTACAGGCTTGATGTATTCAATTTACACCGAGAAGTCGCCTCCATATCATTCAGGGCGTGCTGGAATTATTATTATATCCGTTGTTTATACAAGTGGTCAACAGTTCATTTTTTCAAATGGATCTCACCGGATCTCACTGTTTTTTACTCAATAAATTGAAAGACGAATAAAGATGCTACAAGATGACATAGCATGTACCTATACCTAAATCATCAAGTTTTCCTAATAAAGCCGCTTTTTGTGAAAAATATAATTTTATGAAAAAGTTAATTTTAGATAGCCATGGAAATATCGAACTCATGAC